TGGTTATGGAATTGTTTGTTACCTACTTGTTGGTGCTTTAATCGTAATTTTGTTTTTCGTTAATTGAAATGTTTGTTTATTCAGTTTCGTTGAAAATTTACTGCGAAATTGAGCGATTAATTAGTTCATTGTAATTCTTAGTACTCGAGTGAAATTTAACAAAATAAAATTATATATTTTCCAACAATTTAAAATGTTACAACACAATATTGCGCTTAGTCACGAAGTCATTTTTATAATTTCCTCAGGAACTCTGCATGAACTTTTTTTAAATTTTTACTTTCGTTTAAGTCGTTTCAAGTTTCAAAGTAATTTCAAATTTTTAATTTCCTTGATGTTGCCATGAAGTTTACATTAAAAATCGTGTCGCAAGCCAGTGGAATCATTGTGACACTTGATAGGTAATGTTCCATCGTCAACGCGACACCTACATCCTCGTTAATTAATCAACATCTTGCAGTGAAAATTGATTCCGTCATAATGTCCCATCCAAATATCAGGATTATGCCGCGTGTCGTCGTCGTCGATGCACCACGTCCGACTTTAATAATCGATTAGTCCTCTGCAACGACGTGCAGAGCAAGGTTGGCTCGTTCTGTCGGTGACACACGACCTACCGGGCTGCTATTGTCAGAAGTCGACCGTGCGTGTTCCAGATGACAACGGTGATTAATAAATCGCTGTTTTCGGGCACACGGTCTCGGCTGAAGCGACATGCACCATTGATCGATAGATCGGTCCTGCGATAAGGGAACTGTGGTCTCTCGGTTTGTCCTCGAGGAATTCTACAAATCATTCTACGTTTCTGAAGTACTTGTTTCCTTTCTTTCATTTTTTGGCATTCGATAAGAAATTTGATTAGATTTTTCGGAGGGATTTAAATAACCTAAGGTCCAACGTAACTTCCAATACTAAGGAAAGTTGTGAGAAAGTTTTGGAAGAGTTTGGAGAACTTTATTTGGACTAATTTGGTCTCTTGTATATTTTCTAGTGAAAACATGTTTGGAATGATTTGAAGGGTGTCAGAAGCTGTTTGGACTAATCTAATCCCCCAGTGTACATTATGAAAAGCATCTGTGAAAAGTAATCAGACAGTTCTGGAAACGGAGAAGTCATTCAGGCTATACCATTTTGGAACCTATTCAGACTATCCTAACCTCTCATCCATCTTATAGCGCCACAAAAGAGTTCTTGAAAAATTGTAGGAACGTTGAAAAACTTGTCGACAGTGACCTAGTCGTTTAATCTACCTTCTAGAACCAAAGAAAGCTTCGCAGAAAATTTGAGAAGTGCTATAACCGTTTTGAACTAACCTAAAATTTATAAATGGTCAGAAACCACGTCCATATTAGTCTAAACTTGAAATTCACTGTGCAGAGTCACGATAAAATTCCCGAAAAGATTCCAAATACATCGGAACTCTTTCAAATCTACTGTATCTTCTCAATCCATTCTTCAGATAACTAAAAATCGTCAGAAAATCCAACTAGACTAAACTATTTTCTCCTCCTCGCCCCAACATCTCACAAGATTCCATTAAAGAATTCCAAAACATCTTAAAACTAACCTAACCTCCCAAACAAATCTCCCAGAATGTTCGAAAATTATCAGAATCCATCGAAACCATCTTAACCCTACTGCGTTCTTTGTTTTGACTGTACACTTAAGACTTTTGGGTCAAAAAGCACCTAAGACCTTATGTGTAATAATTTTTGTTTCCAACGCGACATATGAACCTAGGCAATAAACGTTTAAAATAATGTTAAGGAACGTAAACTTGATAACAGCAAAAATGACTAAAAATATAAAAAAGGCGGTGGGTCGAAAAAGACCCGAAGACCGCTCTAGGGTTAAACGTTCACATCTACCTTTCAACGTCATAAAGCTAATTCTCAAAAAATTTCAAAATCACATCGCAATACCCATCCTCCACTTCCCAGCGTTGCAAAAAAAAAGTCCTGAAAACCAACCCAACCGCTCACCCATCATCCATACCCACATAAAGACCCCTGAAAAAATTCCAAAGACGTCAGAACCCGTTCCGTGGATCCCGACGAGGTACCAGGAAACGGAGCAGACCCGTTACGGGGCTCCATGGGGAGCGAAACTGTGGGTAAACAAAAGAGGCGACGGCCCAGGTGGGGCTGGAGGGAGGGTCGGTGGCTGTGCGCGGCGCAATGCCAGTTCTCAGTAGTCGTTTTGGGGCCAGCCAAGCCGGAGCTGCGTAGAAAGTCGCGGGACCCAGACTGCCTTCGTTGTCCCGCCATTGGCCACCGTTTCAAGGCCCATGGAACGCCATGGTGGGGTGGGGAGAGACAGTTTGGGCAACTGCGTCACGCTGCGCGACTCGTCTCCTCGAATCGCGCGTATACCACGTCGTTTCGCGAACGTTTCCTTCCCTCTTCTCGCGTCTCTGGGAATTCCCCGTGCCTCCTAATCCCCTCGAGAAACCGACTGGAGCATCCTAGATGGCGCAGCGGTCGCCACCAGCGGTCCATGTGATCCGTTGAGCAGTTTTTATGGTGTTTTTCTCTCGTGATCGTTTCCACGCTGTTGTTCTTTCCGTGAAGTGATATTGCCCGGGCTTGTATCGTGTGTTTTTTATATTTTCAGTTCTCAGTTAGCAGTTTTGTGAATTTTGTTATGGAGTTTTTTTTTTGGGTGCTGATAAGTGTTTTGTTTTTCTTTTGTGAATTTCTACGGGACCGCTTTTGAGGAAGTTTGAAATGGAAGGTAATTGCTCAAATTTTTGGAAGTTTGAATAGTAATAATTAATGTGTAGGGTGTTGGAAAGGGCTTATAAAGTGATGGAAGAGGGAACAGAATTTTTATGTTTAAGCCTATATTTTTGAGGGGAGATGTAGTTTGAAAATTTGTGAAATTTGTGTACGTATGAAAGGATTTGACTGTGGTAGCTATTCATATTAGTAATTTGTAACAATCGACAGTGACTTAAAACGCTACCTTAAATTTTTCTTGTTTATCTATATTAAAAAGTGTACATTTTCAATTTATTTTCAAATTCGATTTTTAAATTACTTTTTTCTTCTACGTTGAACCTTTCTTGTCTGCTTTTCGCATTTTTGGCCAAATTGCAGTTGTCAGTTATGAAAAACGACTGTCCACGTAACAGAAAGCTGCTTTCACTCTTCGTTTCTCGATAAAAATGTGTCCTACAACTGACGAACATCCTATCAATTTACAGTTGCATTGTTCCAAGCGACGTGTCACCGAGACGCAACTTCTGCGTTGTCGTAATCCTCTTCTTTCTCAATTGCTCAATTTCCACGTGGCTACACCGTTGCATTGAACGACAGTCTCTCGACTGTCAGATCCATTCCGACTTTCTTATTTAACATCGAAGAAATTCAAGTTGTTCAACGAAATCCTTTCATATTACGAGAATTCACTTGCTTCGACGTGCAAAACATTGCCCTCTCTTTAAGAATTTTTTTCAGAAAAACTGCTTCAGATTATTTCACGACTTTTTCACTGCTTATTGAGACAAGCGTATACTACGGAAAAATATTTTTTTTTACGTGTATACTAACACGAGACACTTTTTAAAAAATTCAGAAGTCTGCATTGCGTTATTCGTTATTAATTCATTTGTTTGGTTTGAATTGCTAATTTTTCGTGTAATTCGATAAAAAAAAGAATTGAAACACAAAATATTGAAAATAACAAAGTAACGGAATACAAATATTTATCGGGAATTAAAATTTCCATTAGAGTGCTGAATTTTTCATCCGAAACAAGCTTTGTGGCCGTTCGAAATCGTTTGACTATCAATGTTTACTGTTGTGGCGAGATAGAGAGGGGGTTAGGTATATTGGCGCTAACGTGCAAGCCAGCAGAAAGTTTAGATCAGAGGACCAAGAATATCCACCTCCCATCCCATCGTTCGCTGCTCCTCCGATCGTTCAAGCGTATCATTACCCACGATTTCTCCACGCAAAAGGAAATTGCCATCTAAAATCCCCCCTAAACGTAATGGCGTGTCGTATGGTCTCTGCTGTTCAACACCAGGCACATGTTTCTTATGAAATATGTATCAGGGAACTGTCAGTAATCTTGGAGCAATTTTGCAACCTCTGAATACCAAAAATGTTAATGTCAAAATAAAATAAAACGAAATGTTCGTGATTATTTCATTGTCAACTAGGTACAGTGCATATTTTTTCTTTAACTGAATATTATTGCAGCACTTTTTCTTTATTGTCTTTGCGACATTTTCGATATTTCTATTATTGTATTTTTTGTTTATCTTTTTTGAAAATTAAAAGATCAAGGTTCAGGCAGATTTGAAATAATATTTGATCGTGTTGCGTACATGAACATAGGATAAACAGAGTGAGATTGGAATATTGAAGATTTTCGAGAAATTTAGCCACCCCGTAAATTACATCCGGCGAGACGTGCTTAATCATGACTCGAAATCGTGACAGGTGTAACAATAACGCGTCCTTTGCGATAAGCTATCGAGATCCGCTCTCGATAAAGCGAGCCTTCGCGTTAATTGATAATGCGGTAGGCACGACGATTGAAATGCAAATTCTGGGTACACTGAACCCACTGACGCGTCGAGTGTTCTAATCTTATTATATTTATGTCACACGACATTCTTCAGATACGCCTCTAATTATCTTATCGGATAGCGTGACTGTCGAAAATACCTGATGGAACGTCCACAGTAGCCTGTCGAAACGGATGGCAGTCTTTACAATTGGTGCAACAAATTCACTTTGCTACTCTGTGACGCAGAACTTGGGTCGTTTTATATGGATCACGTTCTATTGTTAGAAAACCTCAATTAGTAGAATTTATTCCACGATCGTAGAACTAATTTGTTCTTATTTCAAATGTATCAACAGTGCTAAACGTTTAAGTGTTTTATTGTTGCAATGTGTGACACATCTTGTCACTGCTATCCAACTCAGAATTGAGAAAAAAGAGAAAATTTCAATTTCAACTGAACAATTCAATATTTCTGCTTGCAGAAACCTCAACAGAGCACTGGGCGACGCTCTAACCCTCCCAGTATGCACCTGGAGCCGCGGTTCGAGGCTCACTTCAAGATGCGGTAGAGGAAGTCCCTCGACTAGAGCCATACCCAACTCACCCATCTCACTCGCCTGTGCTCGATTCACACAGTCGAACATCTCTTGAAACACCACTCGAACCAGCCCTGTGCAGGATCAGCCGAAAGAACCCAGCTAAAGTAACTGAAGAAAAAACAAGTCTGGTGCTTCTGAGCGACGACGTGCAACCACTGCCTAGAAAAAGCACCGCCAAGTCGCCGGACCTTAGAGCAAACCGCCTCGAATCTCGCCCGATAGCAACCTAGAACACCGGGTGAATTAATAAAGAGAGCAGAGAGCAAAAAAGAAGAAGAGGCTGTGAGGGACAGGTGAACAGAGGAGCCGTCACGGTGGCCAGCTTAGTGAGCGGCAACGTAGCGGTGCGTTACGATGAGGCGTCGGGAGTGGTTGGCACGGGGGGTGTCGTGTTGGCAGCCACTTCCAGGTTAGCCACTGCTGACCCAGCGACGTCCAGCATGGACACCAGCGACTCCAGCATGGACACGACGAACGGAGGCTCGAGCACAGGGGTGACAGGCGTCGGGACGATCGCCTCTGTGGTGGCAGGAGCGGCTTCCCTGACCTTGGTCAAGGCTGAGACGCCCGAGCACCTGGCTGGAACGTCGACGACTAACGCGGCGTCGTCGGTGACCGTACCAGTGGCCGCGTCAACTGGCCTGTTCGCTGGTATCGCGACAGGGAACAAGAGCGCCAGACCTGACGATTGGCTGGCAACAAATAGCCCTGGATCGCCGTCAGCAACGCTGCAGGGCCAGCATGTGGTTTACACGAATCCTCAGCAACAGCTGACCGAGTCGCAGCAACAGCAACCACCGTTGGCACACTCCAGCCCGCTGGCGCATCAGCAGCAACAGCCAGGCAGCAACAACGGCTACGCCAGCCCTATGAGCACCAGCAGCTACGATCCTTACAGTCCCAACAGTAAGATAGGTAAGTGGAGAGACATTGGTTTCACGTTGTTTCGGGTTGTTTGACGATTGATAAATCAGTTGACACATGCTTGGAAGTTTTACCGAGATCTTTTTTCTTATTCTCGGTGTTTTCAAACATTTACAAACATTGTCAAACGAGGCTGGCGTTTGTAAGTGGTTTGACAGTGTTTGACGAGTCAGTGGAAACTTACAGATCTGACTAAGATTTTTTTCTTACTGCCGGTGTTTTCAAACATTTACAAACACTGTCAAACGAGGCTGGCGTTTGTAAGTGGTTTGACAGTGTTTGACGAGTCAGTGGAAACTTGCAGATCTGACTAAGATTTTTTTCTTACTGCCGGTGTTTTCAAACATTTACAAACACTGTCAAACGAGGCTGGCATTTGTAAGTGGTTTGACAGTGTTTGACGAGTCAGTGGAAACTTGCAGATCTGACTAAGATTTTTTTTCTTATTGCTGGTGTTTTCAAACATTTACAAACACTGTCAATCGAGGCTGGCGTTTGTAAGTGGTTTGACAGTGTTTGACGAGTCAGTGGAAACTTGCAGATCTGACTAAGATTTTTTTCTTATTCTCAGTGTTTTCAAACATTTACAAACACTGTCAAACGAGACTGGTGTTTGTAGTGGTTTGTCAAACCGACATTTCTGAACCTTGGGGTGTAGAATAAATGTTCAGAAGTCTTTCGATGAGAATTCTAGATGAAGTGTCTCGTAATCTGTGATTCATATTAGTTTGCAAAGTAGTTCTTAGTTCCTACAGTACCTTTTGAATGAATACTCCAGTGAACTTTAGGATACTTTTATAGTTCGCTACTTCCAGAGAAGAACATGATCATGAAATAGCTGTCTTTACAGACAGAAGGATCTTTATTATGGTAGAAGCTTGTTCATGAAAATTTACTAACAATAAGTTTGATAGAAAACTACTATCATCATTCTACATCGCCAGTAGAACATAGGGACAATTGTATTCTTTTATATTAAAGTCAAAAACTTTCTGAAACCCTTGGTATCCTAAACATAGTACTCCCTAAACTCCCAAAACCTAAGGATTACATTTTCCAACGAGGATTCCATCAACCTAAGAAATGTCTGTAACATCTGAAAATCAACTCAGTCTCCAAAACCACTCTACCACATCTTCTGCGAAGAGTCATACCAACCTAAACAAAATCCTACAAACCCCAAGGAACCAAGGAACAATCCTCCAAAAAGAACACTCCACCAAAATTAATCCTGTGAAAACAACCTGCTTCCAAAAAAAAAAAAAAAGAAAAGAACTCAACTAAAACCTGTTCGGTGGAACTTTCACGTGGTAAAAAACGAAAAAATTCACCACACGGTTGTGAATCCTGCTGAGGAAGAAGCACGAGCGGAGAACCACGAGGTTCACGAGGAATTCAGTGCACGCGTTCGCGCGTTTCTTTCTGTTGTGTCGCTCTCTGCGAGAAAAAGAGAGTGAAACGTCGACGAGCGAGCCGGATGTGACGTCACCGGCCACGTTCTCCTCTCACGCGGTTCCCTCCTGCTTTCCCCTCTCCCCACCTCGTCTCCTCTGCGAGCCCCCACCAACATGGTGAACCGTTGTGTCTCTCGTGTCCACTTCCGTCAATCCAAGTGATTGCTTGCACTACTGCCATACTGCACCGTACTCACTCGCGTGCTAACGTCGATGCACGCGAAGCATCGAGAGTCGAAGTGGCGTTTAACGACGATCGCGATACAGAGGAACGATGGATGCCATGATAAGCACAATATAGAGGGTGGATATTGTTGTGGTCGAGGTCTTGGAAATTTTCTTAATCGGTTGGAACAAGATCGTGGTGTTGATTAGAATGGAACTGCACAGTTTATGCTGGTGTTGTTATTGCTGTTTTTTGAGATTATGATAAGATGGAGGTTGTATTTCGGAAGATTACAATTTTTAGGTTAGGTTGAGAAGTTTGTTTTTTTTTTTTTTTTGGAAAATTAGGAAGTTTCTTTTTTGAAAAACCTTGGAAAATTGTGAGAAATTTTAACCAATTTTTAATTTGAATAAATATAGTGAAAAATTGTCGGGTATTTTTATCCGATTTTCAATCTCGATAAATGGAGGTATTAAAAATTATGAAAAGTTCTCTTTGCCGCTTTAATTTTTAAATGCCGCTCAGTTTTTAATTTCTATAAAAATATTGAAAAATCGTCTAGAATTTTTGTGCACTAATCTCGATAGAAATGTGAAAATATTGTCTGAAATGTTTATTCAATTTTTAATCTCGACAAATGCAGATATGAAAAATTCTCTTTGAAGTATTAACTTCAATAGATAAAAATATCAAAAAATTATAAAGAATTATTCTACGCTTCGTATATCGAACGAACAAAAATATTGAAAAATTACAACACAGTTTTATCCAGTTTTCGGTTTCAACTCTTTTGCTTCCCAAACAGTGCGCAGATTCAGTGAATTCTATAAGAAGAGAATTAAGCAGATGAAGAGAATTTTAAAATACATTGAAGAAGCACAAAGACAACAATAAGCAGTTTACGTTTCTGACGTCGATTTATTTAATTCTGCTGGGGAATTAACACGAAAACCTTGGCTGGTTGGTCTCTATCAGATATTGAAAAGCTTCATTGACGTTAAATAATACGTTCCACTCCTTTGTATTCCCCGGACTATTTATCTACCCAAGAGTTTTGTTTGTTCGTAGGGAAAAGAATCTGAGAAAGAGAGACATAAGGTTAAGCAAGCCTTATTAAGGTCTCATTTGGTACAAGAATTTTCTCAATGCGGAAGCCGTGGCTGAATTTCTGCCCTGACAAGCTGCGCCTCGCATTCATCTTTGTTCCCACCTTTTGTTCCATTGCTAGAAGAGGCTTGAAAAATTTCGGCCCTCGACAGATAGTAGGCCGTCTCGATTCTGTGCCTCGCGTTTTACCCTCTTCTTTAAGGGATTTCGCTGAATAACACGTCTTTCTGCGGTAAGGTTTACTACACAGGGAAAGAATATTGTTAACCAGAAATTGTTTGCTTTGAGTTTTTCAAAGACGGGATTCAAAATTTTTTAAATTATTCGAAAAGTCCAAATTGTGGGATTTTAAATTTGTTTTGCTTTTCAGACGTGGAGGTGTTTAAAATTTTTCAAGAATTTAAATTTTTTGACTTCTTAAAACTTTCCTACTTTTTTCTTTTGTAAGTTTATGGATGTGCAAGTTCGGTTTCTTCGAATTTAATTAAATGAATATTTTAATCTTTCTGAAGAGAAAGCAGGTCTCTTTTTCAATTTTTGTATTTTTTGGAAGAACAGAGTTTGAATCTTCAACGCTATTTTGGGGAAACTTTTAATTTATGAAGAGCAAATTTTCTGAAGTGAAAACTTCAGGTATCCATACTTCTCGGAAATTTTCTTAAACACACGCTTTAAACTTTTAAAGTTTCGAAAGTTCATAACTTCAATTCTGTAAAACATTTTATACCAATCCGCTGTTTAGCCATTTCTTTTTTTCAATGTAAACTGAAAAATGGATTAATTTGCATTTGAAAAAATGTAGTTCCTGAAAAACATTTACAAAATACAATATTTCTCGTTTCATAAAGCCGACAAAATCCAAAAAAATTCTGAATACCGACGAACATGTTACAGAATGTAATATTTTTATCCCAGGATATGGAAGAAATCCAAAACAATCCGTATTAAAAAACGTAAAAATGAAAAAATAAAAACTAAAAAACGTATTAAAACTTGTAATATCCCAAACTATGTAAAGAAAAAGCAATATTTCTCGTTCCATAAAGCAAAACAAAATTCTGTCGATATCTCAAAATATAAAAAAAAGAAACGCTGTAGTTTTCATTCCGTAAAATAAACGCAATACACAAAAAAAAAGAATATTTCGCATGTGGTAGACTTCAGCAATTTTTAACACTAACCGCACCACGCCCCGGTCAAATTACCGGTTTTAAAATTTCGATTTAAAACCATGCACCTGTTTTCTCCCCGTATTTTCTTCAAAATAAAAGTGTGTAATTTTTTTTTAATTATTATCTAGAGGCTATTTTCTGCGTTGTTTCCTATATTAAATTGACAATCACCTGTATTCCTTTTGGGAAAAATATGATTATTTCGTAACCGATCATTTGACCGGATACGGTATACATAAAGTGTCGGTACGGTTGGAACGGTACGGAGGTACTATGGAATAGAAGAAATCCCAAAAAATTCAGTCAGTAATATTTCAAAATATTAAATTGCTCACTTGATGAAGTAACAAAGTATTTAAAAAAAAAAGAATATTTCGCCGGTGGTAGATTTTCGTGTTTTCATCCAGGAACCAGCTGATCGCGCGAGGGTTAATGAGTGCTTGCGCTGGTGTCTCGCGGAGTGGTATAAAAATAGGGCTGAATGTTATATATTCCACTGCTCAGCGACATGTGCTAATTGGCTGCTTTTAATCGTGTGCAGGGTGCAACTTTTTCTCCCTTGTTTTCTCGTGTTGGCGTTACGTGCGGCTCACACCTCCCCTTCTCCATCTCTCTCTCTCTCTCTTCTCTCTCTCTCTTCTCTCTTTCTCTCTCTCTCTCTTCTCTCTCTCTTCTCTCTTTCTCTCTCTCTCTTTCTCTCTCCTCTCTCCTCCCTCTCCTCTCCTCTCTCTCTTTCTCTCTCCTCTTTCCTCTCTCTCTCTCTTCTCTCTTTCTCTCTCCTCTCTCCTCCCTCTCCTCTCTTCTCTCTCTCACCTCTCTTCTCTTTCTGTCCTCTCTTCTCTCTCCTCTCTCTCTCCTCTCTCCTCTCTTTCTCTCTCCTCTCTCCTCTCTTTCTCTCTCCTCTCTTCTCTCTCTCTCTCTTCTCTCTTTCTCTCTCCTCTCTCCTCCCTCTCCTCTCTTCTCTCTCTCACCTCTCTTCTCTTTCTGTCCTCTCTTCTCTCTCCTCTCTCTCTCCTCTCTCCTCTCTCCTCTCTTTCTCTCTCCTCTCTCCTCTTTTTCTCTCTCCTCTCTTCTCTCTTTCTCTCTCCTCTC